TCTCCCCCATGGACACTGAAGGATGACTGTAAATAAAATAAACAAATGACACAAAGATAAGAAACCCTTCGAGAAAAATGAAGGAATGGAATATGTAGCAAGCAATAAAAGGAACATGGCCAAGCAAGACCTCAGTGAGAAAGGACGTGAATGGGACCTTCACAAGAACAAAACTGACAGGGCACCACATTCAAATCGAACAGAATTGGAGAAAAAACTGAAAACTAATTTCCAAAGGTCTTCCACCCCTCCATCTATTATTCCAAAGTACAAAAGTGGTGACTATTTCTTGGGCTGGCCACCTATACCATTTCTAAACTTCAGTTAGCAAGGCTTACAACTTTATTTCCTACCAGAAATAAGTCAGCACTGGTCCTGCTTTTGCCTCCTGAAATTTCCATCCTTCTTGCCAGAAAGCAGCATCTGTATAAATCCCCTGCTTCTGATGACTGTGACTTCCTTGATAAACTACCCGTGGGTGTGGGGAGGGACAGAAAGATGGAGGAAGCAAATGGGAAAATGAGTTTTTCCCTCTTCAGATTAATGTATATGAAGTGTACATCTGACACTTCATCAGCACTCCCGGCTGGTGTCCCAGCAGGCAGACACTGGCTGAGCATGTATTCTGCCAGCTACTAGGCTACTTAGGATGAACTGGCAACATGCCATTTATCTGAAATGCCCAATGTGTCTGGGAGAAGGAACACAACTACATTTAGCATTGCCAAGGAAAACTAGACACTTTAGGCTAGGAATTAATCTCCTCCTTGAGAAGGTAGTTAGCATTACCCTCAAGTTTGCCTATGGCATTTAAATCACTATAGGTCATGCATTTACTAAAATTCATACCTACCAAACCACAGGGCCTTCATTTATATCTTACTAACATATTAATACCTATCAGGTGGAGGGCCCAGACTTTTCTGAAACATATGTTGCTGCAATTAGCATGGAATTCTGTTACACTGAAAGCAGTGCTGTCATTTAGACATAAACGATTTTGATTCCTTATTTTTCTAATTCTTCCACACTATGGCACATATCACTTTGACTTAGTTGCTCAATAAATCAACAAAATATTTAAACAAATGTAACAATATAACTCCTTAAAAGCAGATGAAGGAGAAATCCTTGAAAGTGACAATGATGATCTCTTTGCAATTTTGCTGCTGTGATTTTTGAGCAGCTGCTATAGAACTAAATGGGATCTGGCTTATTACATGGCCTCTTAGGCTAATCATAACTGTAAGACTCACATTGAGCAACAAAACCAGAGATGCTTCAATGGATGGACTTACAGGCCACCCACCACAGCACACAAGGTTACACTACCACTCTCACCTTGAAATTAAAGCAATCTGTCATTTTCCATGAATAATTATTTGTTCCTACAACATTATTTATCGAATTACCTCCTCCTTGCAAGGCATTGTGCCAAAAGGAGTGGGTAGTAGGAAATCAAATCAGGTAAGAATTCTGACCTCAAGGGGCTTGCGGTCTAGTCAGGAGTTATTACGCATAAACACAAAGAGCAAAAACAAAGGTACACCATGATAAATGCTAAGGGAGGCAGGGAAGGATGACTCATGGCTCTAAGGGAGGTTGGAACAGTGGCCAAGAGGACAGCTCAATCAGTGAGGGGTTATCTACTATACAACGAACCTCCACAGGCAGCAGCTTGCTTGGAAGGAAAGAAAAACAAGGAAAAGAAAATGAAAGAGTTTTAAAAGGTATCAACTCCTAATACTTGAGTATCATTCTCTATCAAATGTCAGTGGCAATTGGCAGAAATAACTTCGATGTAATCCAATACAAATGTGGTAGAAATGTAAAACATTAAACTTTAATGTACCTTTGGCTGTGCAGCGTGAAAAGGTACCAATATCAACGAGGCACTGACATGTATCTCAGTGACACAATGAAACGATGGCAGAGCATTCTGCACACATCACTACAGAAGAAAGCAAGAGGGCAAGCTCTCGTGTGGCTGCTGCTGCCCTGAATACAACAGAGGCTTGGGGACAAAACGTTTTCCATAGACTACAATTAAGATCTAAACCTCTGAAGGGAAAGATAAGGGTCAAACGTTAAACCTTCACAATCTAGGTCCAGGGATCTAGCTCAGTGGTTCCGCCACCTTGCTCATAAGCACAAGATTCTCAGATTCTGAGTTCGATCCCTGGTACAAAAAAAGAACCTTCACAATCTAGCAATAAATGGCTAATCACATTCTGGCTTCTGTGCCCACATTTACCCACAATATGACAGAAAGACATATTAATATTGCTGGTGTTTGAAACATTAAAATGCTAGACTATTTCAAGCTTCTACCACAAGGAATTTCATCACATTCTCCATTTGATCTTAGGCAAACACTGTAAGCACAAAACTTGCAGATAGATCAGCTAATGATTTAAGAGACTGTTTAATAAGAATGTCATCTGACAGATGCTGAGATGCTCTTCCATGCTTTCTATTAGAAGTTCTCCTTATTATTGTGCACTGTTCCCAGTATCTTAGGTGAATTTCCGTATCTGGGTATGTGACTAATAATGTGGATCATTAGGCAATAAGATTCAGTATGCTATGATTAGGATCTAACCCCCCACCTCCGTGTGCTTGGAAGGTGATGGGATCATAAGGGCACTAAGCTCATCATGGGATTCCTCGATCAGTGAGATGTGTAGTAAGTGTACAGGGGCCTGGTTGGAGGTCGGTCACCAAGGGTTTGACCTAAAAGATGTATTCTCAGCCCCAGCTTCTCCCTTCTCTCTGTGATTCCTGGCTGCTATGGGTTGAACACCATTCACTGCTTTGCCCTTCCACGCAGTTGTTTCTGCCTTGGATCCAGGTGACCACGCACTGAAACCATGAGCCAAACAAAATAAACCTCTCCTACTTTTAAGTTATGGGTGGCAGATGTTTTGCTCCTGTGATGGGAATGTGATTAGGACCCAGTACTTTGTGACAGTATTGTTTTAATCAAAATTATTTACTTGGCAATAAATATATAAAATTACAATTTAAATGTTAAGAATAGTATTCAGCAGTAGCTGAAAAGGACTTCTGTCAAAAACTCATGAATTGTGGGTACTTTTAAAAAGTACATACTTACAGCAAAAGAAGCTTTTAACAAAATTCCTCCAGGAGAAAAAAAATCACCTTGGCCTGGGGGTGCGGGGTAGAATAAAATGTTATCTATTATCATTTTTACTCTGTTTTCATGAGGAAAACAATGAATTCTAGTTAAAGGATAATAGTTGATTTTAAAGTCACAAAATATCCTAAAGGAAACTTCTTGAGAGAGAAGTATTCCATACATTCAAAAACCTCCATTATTCTGAAACTAGAATTATGGAATTCCAGAGTTGAAAGCACCTTGATGGACTATTTAATATGTCTTTTCATCTTACAGGTACAGATAACATGATAAAATTTGAGAAAGTAGGTGGCTTGTCTAAATATATACAGCTACTTAAGGATAAAAGCAGGACTATAGTCTGGACCTAAATCAAATCTCTGCATTATTGTATGATTTTCAAATAGCTAACATAATGTATTACCAATAGATAAAATTATGAGGTATCATTATACACTGATTATATATTATATCTTCACCTATAAAACATATTTTAAAATCTATTTCCATACCATACAACCCCACCACCAATGCAAAAGTAATGTATAGACTCCTCAGCCAAGTCAAGGGATAGATAGAGAAATAAAGATAGCTGCTGTAAAAAAATTCTAGTAAGCATGGTTAAAAATACAGTTCTTCACAGTAGGAGGCAGTGATGTGCAAGTTCCTGCTGCTAACAAATACACAAATATTTATGTGGTATACCAGCTAGTGAATATGGAGAGTGCTTGTGTTGGAAAAGTCACCTTTTTTCTTTTTGGTGCTCAGGATGAAACCCATGGCCTACAGCATGTTAGACAAGCACTCTATCATTGATCTACAATTCTAGTCCCTGTCATTTGCAATCATCATAGAAAAAAAATGGCCCTAGCAAGAACCACCAACAGATGTTAAATGCAGACAAATTTTTTCACAAGAAGCATGTTTGCATGGCCTGAAAGCACCCCCCACAATCGTTTATTGATTGCAAGAGAAAAAGTCATGGCTATGGTGGAAAAATTGTGCAACGCCTTGAGTGGACAATCAAAATTAACATGATAGTGATGGGGCAAGTGGACATCCCAAGCCTGAAAACCTCACACCTTGAGGACACATCGCCGATGCCTGATTCTGGTCTGGAATGCAAAAACCTGAATCTCATCATACAGACAAACATAATATGAAAAATATTCCATTAAAATACTTCAAAAAGTTCACATCAGAAAAGACAAAGAAACATTTCACATTAAAGGAGACCAAAGAAATGAAAATGGGCAATTAAGGAAAATACATGACCATAAGGTGGGTTCTATATGGAGAAAGGAAATGCTATAAAAGATATGATTGACTCAATGACGATAATGAAACATAGATCAAAGTAGGTAATAGTATTATATCAGCCACAAAGTCACTCAGGGTAACAAAAGGCTATGGAGTACATGCAACTTACTCTCAGATAAATAAAAAAGTTACGTGCATGTATGTGTGAATTTAAATCCACCCATACTCACACAAAATACAAATTATAAGGCAAATTGGTCAAGATGTTTTAAACATGAATCAAGAATGTAGAATTAACTGGTGATTTTTCTGTAAGTCTCATATTAAATAAAAAGTTTAAGAAAGAAAAAAGCCTAGAAACATTTTCATTTCTTCAGAGGAAAGGGTGGACCTAGAGCCAATACTGAAATACATCGTTTGGGGGAGGGGGTAGAAATTAACACACTGAAAGCAAAGCATTTCAGATCATCCAACCTGTGCTCCATGCCATATGTGGGTTAGTTTAAACCCAGCTAAAAACAGCATACTAAATAGTCCCCCATGGAGATGGCGAGCTACAGCAACCCTGACGCTACTCTAACTCAAGCAGAAAGTCACTCACCAGGCTGGCAGTGAGCGAGGGCGCCGACTGGCCCAGGGCCTGGCTGCGCATGCGCACGAGGTTGGACGTCTCCGCTGAGGCTGGCCACACCTGCCCCGCCACTGGGTTTGGAAGGAGGTATCTCCCTGTTGGGGTGGAAGAGAAGACAATGCAAGTGACAGTTAGACAGCAATAGTTCTGCGACAATGGTGGGTCTCTCCCTAGTCATTCTTCTGTATTATTTCTGCCATAGTCAGTAATAACACTGATAATAGTAATCACAGAAGATTTGCTTGAAATAAATCAGGAGATCCACTGGAGGTTCTGACCTCAACCATCCAAGGACACCCCCTTCATCTCCTACATGCTGTAGCTTCCTTCATCAGGGGAAGATGAAGTGGGTTTTCCCAACTGCCTATTTCACTGGAATGTGTTGAGGACATATGTAAACACACAGAGCATGCTCAGCATTACAGAAATGAAGGTGGACATTTATAACTGTACTCTGGGGGAGGGGACCTAATATGGTTGTAACAAGTAAAAATAAATTTAAAACAACCAGTAAAAGAAAAAACCGTCTAATATGGAAAGTGATCTAGGATTCAACCAGAAAAAAAGTCTACAAAGAGAAAATTGTGACCAACTAAAGGAAATGGGGAAATTCTTTCAAGGTGAAATAGGACCAGTGCCCCTTTCCCCAGCCTCTCTCCGTGAATCACAGGTGGTGGCCAACCGTGTCCAAGGCATACATAATGGCACTCATTTGCATAAATCAGGACATCAATGTCAGCCTAGGTTCACTACACAATTTCCATCAACCTTGAATATATATGCATACACTCTTAAAAGTCAAATGGCTGAATCAATTCATACCATTACTTCCTTGGTACAGGGACTCTGCTAGTAACAACACAGTAAAAAATGAAGTTTTGTGACACCCGGAAAGTTAGGAGAGCCATGCCATGAATCTTCACGTAGTAATGAAGCTCAGACGGTGTTCTATCTGCTTTCCTCTGATACCACTAGCACACTGATGGAATGAAATGAGGATGAGTAGGCATTTTCCTCCCAGAAAACAGAGAGAGAATGAGAAAACAGAATCTCATGTGAGGGCCATGTGTACGCGGACTCTGACCTTACTCCTCGCCAGAATCACGAGGGACTACAGTATGTATGGCTGGTGGTCCTACAACAAAGGTAATATCTATTCCTTGTCCTTCCCTCAAGCATGCCTTAAACAGCACATTCTACGGATTAATAACCACTGCAACCAGTAGAGGAGTTTACCATCACTGAACACTGCTAACCACAAGCCCTATCATAGCACAGGAGTGGGAGGCTTATCCTATCCACTGTCTAGGTGAGAAATCTAATGTTTTATTTAATCCAAGTGTTCAGAAATTTGTATTTTAATTACAGAGAAAAATGGCTTCTTATTTCGTAAAAATCGGCCTTTCACTCTCTTATATTTATACAGTAAAAGCACAGACTCTGGAGAAAAACTAGACTTGCTTTTCAGATCTTGCCCAGTGGTTGAAGGACACTGAGGGACCTCTCTTGGTCTTGATTTTTTTCCATCTCTAAAATGGATATGAGAATCTTCTATGTAGAGTTGCTGAGAGGAGTTTCTGAATAAATCATCAATAAGAGTTAGCTATTTAGCAATAACAATAGTAAAAATGAAAGGCATTTTTAGGGGGGCGAGCTTTGGCTTTTTATTCAAAAGTAGAAAATGCGCATATATACAAAAATCACCTATGATAGCACTAGAGAATATCATTCTGATTTTCTTTATACAATTTATCCTTTCTTGAAAAAATGCAATTGCATTGATTTTTGTCACCTGATCTCCACCAACCCCACATAACAGATTATGACCTTTTCCAACCAGATAAACACAGCAACTGGCAATTAACTAGAACTTGAACACTGTCATTGAAAGACTCAAATATAATTAATTACCCTCTGTGGTTCCAATCATTGCCTCAGAAACATTCAGGCATACTTTCATGGAGGGGGTGCTACATTTAAAGTCTAGAATTTTAATTTTGTTTCCTTGCCTTATTTTGAAATGTGAACTAAAAACTGCACTGAGAGGCTGTCCAAGAAATCTGCCCATTTTAGGCCCAAAGGTAGGACATAAATGAAGAAGGGCAAGAAAACTCCAGACTGCAGCATTAGTATGATGTGAAGAAATTGATTTTTTAAATGCAGAAATGACTCACTATCTGCAGGACATTACTTACTATGAGAATAACAATCTCATCAGTAATCTGAATGCACAAATTTTTGGAGGGTCCCTCCTGGGTCTTTTCCTCCATCATATATTCCTTTGGGAGAGAAACACAACAGGTGCAGAAGCCGTAAGATGTCAGGGTTTATAATGAAGAGAATCCTCTCTGGCCTCACTTCCGTTCTGCCCGGAAGCCCCGTTTCAAAAAAAACTAGGGGTACCTAAAAAAATCACATGAGGACCTAATGTAATCATAGAAAGATTTAAAAGCAAACATGTCAGTTCAGTGAAAAACTCTGCAAGTCAGCCTGCTTTTCCTTTAAAGGGAAAGAATGACTGGACTGTGTTTCCATCAGACTTCTCAAGTAAAGAAACAGATTTATTTATTTCTGTACCCCAAGTTCCTGGCGTAGGGCCTGACACTTAGTAAATACTCGACAAATGTTTGTTGACTAAAGTGCAGCTAAACTCTACTTGATCAGTTCTACACAGGAAGAATACCAGTGAACAGATGATTTTCCTAAATTTCATTTGTAATGATAGTATAACAGCTAAAATGGAGAGGTCTTTGTGTGTGGCAAGCACGATAATACACTCACAACTCCATGGGGTGGGCACTGTCAGCTCCACTTTACAGCAGAGAGAGGTTCCATAACTAAGCAAGGTTTCACTGCTGAGTGAGCAGGTAAAGCTAAGGTTCTGATTCCAAGCTCACATTCTACCTCAGGAAAATATCCACCACATATGCGTATGTGAAAATAAATTATGAACTAAAATAGGATGTTATGTATTCATAAATAAATATATACTATTCATAGAGAGAAAAACATCTAAAAAGATGGAAATGGAAGAATTATACCATAGTCTGGAAATGAAACAAACACAGATCTGAACCCCAGTTCTTACTAGTTGTGTGAAATAGTCAAATTGTTGGGCACTTTAATTTCTAAGTCTCAATCTTCCCATCCCTAAAACAGGAATAACAGTGCCAGGTGGCAGATAAGATTAAAGGAGACAATGTACTTAAATTGTTCAGCCTAGCACACGGAAATCAGTCAACATACGATCACCACCCATATTATGAGATCTGCATCCTTCACCACTAGCATCAGCAAGAAAACAAAACATGGTAGTCAGGTTCCTAGACAAAGATCACATAAGAAATAAGGAATAACACTGAATAATGTCAAAATAAATAATATTTCATGGTAGCAGTAAATAACAACATCAGAATTATGTGTTATCTCGGACAGAGAACAGTGGGAATGGGAGCAAAGAGAAAGATGATGACTCTTGGAAATATTTAATTATTCAAGTAATTAATTAATCTTTTACTTTTGTGATGCTAGGGATTAAAACCCAGGGCCTCACACACGTGAGGTAAGCACTATACCACTGAGATATATCTCCAGTCCTTATAGTATTATTTGTTATTGTAAAAATTATCTGTAAGGAATAATAAGATCTGCTAATTCAATTTAAAAAGTTTATTTGAAGAGTCGAGTTTTTGATTTGTGCCTTTAAATAACATATTACACTGTAAAATGTACCTGAAAAAATACACATATTAAGCTCTGATAAAACTGGCTGGCAGGCATACAATTTTGTGTTCAATTATTCTCTATTAATTTCGACATATGATATTTTCTATATTGCTTTTAATGATTCTAAAAAAAATGTTCTGTGCTCCCGTCCTCCCCTTCATCAGCAAGAGCTTGAGCATAATCCTCATCAAAGGGCATTCATCTGCTGGGATCCTGAACTGCTGAGACCACACATGGCTCAGCCAAGTTGGACTCTGGACAGAATCCAGAACCAGCACAGGGAGCACAAAGCAGGGAACCAGAGCCAGGCCCCTTCCCTCCATACACTCTATGCCATACTTTGAATGCTCCACCTTGTTAAATGCCACAAGACACTCTACAATAAGAAGAACCACTGGTAACAAGGCTTGTATGCCTTCTTATCCTGTCTGAAATCACTTTTAACACTATCATGTGCACTTTATTATTTGTTGCTATCTCGTGTGTAAGTCAATCTTGGTAACAAATGCCTTCAGTTTCTTTGTTACCTGACCAGAGCCTAACCCAAAAGAGGACATTTAGACATTCAATAACTCATCTAACCTCAGCCTATACACTGAGCCTATACCTTCTTTAAATCCAAGAAAACATAAAGGCCCTTGCCAGTAACTGTGAAAGCTAATTGCTCCAGTTGTAGGTGACTTTAGAGTCCGACTCCAATTCTGTTGTGCTCCAATTCTGAACTCCAGAACTGAATCCATCACTTATGTCAAGAACTTCTCCGAGCCTCAGCTTCCTTAGCTATAAAACAGGGGCAAACCAAGAGTTGTTGTAAAATCTAAGAGAGATACTGTATTTCAGAATTAGCCTTCAATCAAATTAGCTTTTAAAAAGATAAGAAACACGAAGTGCTACCCATCACAGATTATAAAGGGAGCAAGAAATACAATGTAAAGCCACTGGAAAAAATAAATTAGGAAACATTTATACACAAGTAAGATGAAATATTGTAATCCTGTCATGGATTAGGTTTTAAATTCTTGCATAGGTCCTGTCCCAAGGAATTTTAATGAAAGTTACAAACTAGAAGGTCTATTAACATAACACATGGGATATTTTATTCCTGCCTAGACCCCCATTAGTGTTAATAGGGAAAAAGGACAACAGATGGATTTAAGGCAGTCATTAGAAGGCACTAACATAGTGCCATAGTTAGTAGTGATTACATCAAACTTTATATAAATTCACTTTCTGATGACTACCAAGAGCCTCTAAAAAGTGTGTTGCTGTTATATTCATGCATCATTTGCTGCCTACAATTTAAGAAAATTAGCATCTGTCAATGGCATTATTCAGCTGCACAGGGTGGAAATTAATGGATAATACCATT